CCTGAAGACAGAGAAGCTGGGAGGCTGGTGTGGTCAGAAACCTTACCTTCTGCTGGCTGTGTGTGTGTCAGCTGTCCCAGATCTCTGTGCGACAACAGCCCCAGGGTGAGCAGCTGGCCCCGAGAATGAGTATTCACCAACCACACCAGCCAGAGGGAAGGAAAAATTCTTCCTCTACCCTTTAGTTTCTTCCAGTGGGACTAAGAGCTACATTTACATAAAACAGATTAACCAGAGGAAAAGAACACAAAGCTTGAGACCTAAAGAGACGACCCAGGCAGGCAGTTTTTAGAGGCAAGGAGTAAATTCATGAGGAATTGACAGGACAAAGAAAATTTAACTTTGGGAGCTCCAATTCGTAAGGAATTCTAGGCAGAATTTGGGGTGTGATACTAAATTAGTAGACATTAACAAGTATTGTCTATACATTTTTCTTGGCTCTAAATTTCCTATGTCTGGTGATAACAATGTCTGTACCTCCCTGGCACAGGAAGGGTGCCTTTCACATGGGAGATTTTTCTTCTGCTTTCAGGGGGACAGAGGGGGGTCTGAGGGTCCTTCTTGTACAGGTTGTCTCTTAAATACTATTTTATTTAAAATAATCAGTAAGCCACAGTGGAGCAACCTGCCCTTAGCCCCTACAAAACCAATTCACTAGAGCTCTTTTACAAATTGATTTTAGTAATACCACCCAGAAACAATATCTCACATTTATGACATACACACATACATACAAACACACAGAGGCGGTTGGTTAAGCATCTGCCTTCAGCTCAGATCACGATCTTGGGGTCCTGGGATGGAGCCTAACATCTATCAGGTTCTCTGCTCAGCAGGGAGCCTGCTTCTCCCTCTCCATCTGTGTTCCCTCTCTCTCAATTAAAATCTTAAAAATACACAGGGGGCGCCTGGGTGGCTCAGTGGGTTAAAGCCTCTGCCTTCGGCTCAGGTAATGAATGATTCCAGCATCCTGGGATCGAGCCCCACATGGGGCTCTCTGCTCAGCGGGGAGCCTGCTTCCCCCTCTCTCTCTGCCTGCCTCTCTGCCTACTTGTCATCTCTGTCAAATAAATAAATAAAATCTTAAAAAAAAATACAGAGGCAAAGACCCTATGGTTACTAATATTTGTGGATTTTTAGAATAAGACTTTTATTTGTCCCTGGAATCAAGCTTAAGGAGGCTGCACTGGACTTTGAGCCCAAGAGCCCTTTTTAGCAGTCTGTACTATAAAAAAGCCTCTTTTCCCCCCTCTGTCTCAGGTGATTGTGGGCTGTGTTTACATTTCAAAGACATGATGAACGTATAACTTCAAGGGACAGAGAAAGAATGTAAGTTCCTCCAAGAAGGACTGGGGTTTCCCAAGTCTTTGAGATAAATGAGGCAAGTTTCAGAATAGGTAAATGAATAGGTGAATTTTGAGTTGTGCCTAGAACGGACTTTCATTTTTGGGGTGAGGGGGAAGGTAAGGTAAGGATAGTTGCTCCCAATTTCTCAAATTGGGCTATAACTTTAATGACATCCTCGATCAGCCCACCTATCCCAGCTACATTATCGCCAATTCATTTCTTTCCCTCTGGGTACATAGTTGAACTTCAGAGATTTCTGGCAGTATTGAATAACCCTTGGGTTATTGGGTGTTAAGATGGGATCCCAAAAGAGGGTACGAAGGATATTGCCTTCCCCAAGTCCAGAGTCCCTCCCACAGACAGCCAAAAGAATAACTTGCACGTCCCAGGCCAGCAGAAAGCCAAGCCTGGTTACGCAAAATGAGACAAGGAAGAGGGTGACAGCTACCCCCTGGGAGAGAGGGCATCAGTGAATGATGGGTTTGGATTTGGGAAGAAAAGGGCAACATACGGTTTTCTTTTCCCTTCTCTACTGGGCACTGCAGGCACCTTCAGAAGCGATTCTGATAAGCATTTTCACCCTTTGCTGGCTTCTGCCAGTTTTTCCAGGGTCCCCTGTGCAGGCTCTGCTATCTGCTGGAGGTTCCTGTTAGCTATTTGTTTTTTTAAGCTATTATTTGAAAGAGAGGGAGAATGAGCACTAGCGGAGGGAGCAGGACAAGCAGGCTCCCATTGAGCAGAGCACAATCCCAGGACATGCCCTCAACCCTGCCACCAATCCCAGATCGAGACCCAAGCCAGTGAAGGCAGATGCTTAACTGACTGAGCCACCCGGCGCCAACAGTTTACCAAAAAATTCCTCTTCCGTTAACTCAGAGGGGCCAGTATGGGGGGTGGTACCTGTAAGGCCCATGCCTTGCCAGTTTTGTTTCTGGTGGTATTTTCAGAGGAGGAATGTCAATGCAGACAGAGAATTAGCAGCATGAGTCCTCAGAGGACAAAGGCGGCAAAAGGCGTTTCTTCTGACTTCCTTTAGGTCCCTCTTATACCTTTAATTTTCGGGAAGCTTTTGTTAAATCTTTTAATTCATTCTTAATGACACTAGTTCGAAATTTTGAAACCTTCTGGAGTTTCTGCTTGCCCATGTAAACACGCACCCTGTTTGCTTTGGGAACCGGGGCTTTCCATGGCGCTTCTCAAATGACTTTGTCTACTGGGAATGCTCCCCGTTGTGGCTGGTGTACTGCTAGGGTGTTTTTAGTACAGTTTTGCCGTTTCTGCAGATATTCCCAGCTCCCAGCACCACGGGTTTTAGACTTAAATGAGCAGGTGTGCTGGAAGACGGCATGTTTGACTCTTCAGAATTTAGGGATCCTCTTAGCTAAGCCTTGGGTATACAAAACAAGACAAACATGCACACTTTAACACACCAGCGGTAACCAACCACAGGGTGCTTCTCCGGACTGGCAGAGAGAAGGCCGTGCCCAGCACAGGCAGTTCCCTGCGTGGACTGGAAATGGGGAATGGACTTAAGCAGCAAAAGCCCAGTAAATGAGGACTGCGGGTGGGAACTGGGAAGGGATTCCAGCGTGGACTGGTGGGCTGAACCCAGGGCTAAGGATGGGTGCTCCCTGAGCGCACCCCCAACCCCCGTCACCTTGGACTGGAAAGCCAATTAGGTTGGTATCTCGAAGGCAAAAAGGGGAGGAGAAACCAAGAGGACTCACCGGCAGTGGCACCGGGCAAGGGCAAGAAAGACAGGAACGTGGAAGGGCTCGCGGGACACAGTGCCTGTGATTCTCGCCGTCCCTGCAGGGCCCTCAGGAGCTTGCTGTGGACCCCAGGGCCACCACCACAGCTGTGAAACAAAATTCAGCCGCGTAAATTGGAAGGTCTGATGGGTTTTATTTATATAATTCACAAATCAGGCAGCATGCTGTCTAGCAAGCAGAGCTCTGCTGAGCCCAACAAGAGAAAGGTTTTGGAAAGGCAAAGAAAGCATTCAAAAGGGGGCATTTACTAGCCAGAAATGCACTGTGTAGGCCAGGTTGCACTCCTAAGGAGCAGAAAGGGCTCAGGAAGTTTCCTGGTCAGGTTGCCTGGCTAAAGGCTGTATTCCTGGGGCGGCGGAACTGCAGTTTGATTAGGTAGTGAGTTCGGTTTACTGACCTGGGGCCTTTACCTCAGTGACAACACTTGGGGCCTGCGGGTTGTTTCTTAACAACAAAAAACCACACAATCCATGGTCACTGCTGTGTCCGTAGGTCTTAGTGTTGCATCTTCATTTGCTGACTAACAGGGCTGGAGTGCCAGGCACGGTGCTAGCACCATCCAGGGGTGACCCCAACAGACCTGCCTTCATCCATGGCTTTACCCCTAGTGAGCGAGATGCATAGTACATCATTCAAGCAATTCATTACGAGTGCTGTACAGGAGAGAGCTAAGAAGGGAACCGAACACAGATGAGGTTTCAGGGCACTTCTCCCTAAGGAAGTGGCATTGAAGCTAAGCCAGGAAGAATGAGTAGGAGTCAGTCAGCTGTGGGGAGGGGAGAGTGTTGCAGGGAGAGGAACAGCATATGCAAAGGCTGTGAGGCAGGGAGGAGGAGCACAGTATCCTTGAAGAACAGCAAGATGTCGTTGTGCTCCTGGGGTTCAGAGAGTATAGAAAAGACAACGGGAGGCAGAGGACTTGGGGCATACTAGACCATAAGAGATCTGTGGGTCATATTATATATTCTGGTCTTTATCCTAAAAGCAATGGAAAGTCCTAGGGGGGTTTGAGGCAGAGGGGGGATATGATCATATTTGCTTTATAAAAAGACCACTCTGGCTCCTCCAGGAAAACGGATAGGAAGAGGCCAGACGGTACTGCCGTGATCCAGAAAAGCGATGGTGGAGCTCAGACCACCATGGTGGGAGTAAAGATATGGAGAAGTTTCAGGGAGGCATGCTGGGGATGTTTAGAGAGTAAGACACAACTCTGGGATAGACCGAGTACGAAGATGAGGAGGAAGGAAGGGGTCAAGGCTGATCCCCAGGTCACTGGCTTACACAGCTGGACGAAGAGTGGTTCAACACTGAGCCAGGGGCCCTGGGCCGGCGTGGCCCCCTTGCGGTGCCTGGGAGGCATTGAAGTGAAGGTGTTCAGTAGGTGGAGGCACACAGGAGAGGTCTGGGCTGCAAGCCCACTGAGGTAGGGATGAGGTCGCCGGGGGGCGGTGATAGGCCCTTCCCCCAGCCTGAAGGAAAGCCAGTATTTAGAGGCCACATGCAGGAGAACAGGGGAGGGGAGACTGAGACGCAGTGGCAGACACAGGAGAAAGCCAGAGAGCCTAACATCAAGTCAAGTGAGCGTGGAGTTTCACAGAGGCCAAGGGCAAGACAGCCAAACGCCTGTGCAGGAGAAGATGACCAGGCCTGAGAGATGTCATTAAGTTCGGGTTCCTAAAGGCTATTGGTGACCTTAGTGAGAGCCAGTTCAGAGAGTGACAATAGCTGGAAAGGAGTAATATTGCCACACAAGAGTCTGAACAGAGCACGTCCCTTAACTTCAGGGCCACATGAAGAACAGGAATGTGTCAGGAACACATACCGGCGAGGCCCACACAAGTTCCTACCATTTTACTTATGTTGTTTGTTTTTCTCCAACAGCCTAAACGGAAATTTGATAAAGCCAGAGGAGGCCAAAGTCTTTGAAGACGAGAAGCGGATCATCTGCTTCTGAGAGGCCGCTTCCACGTGTGGGGCCCACACCCCAGGAAGGAGCCTCCCTGAGCAGCTGTTACAGTTTTGCAGGGCACGAATGCGCTTGCTGAGTCGTTTAAGTGACTGTAACTACGCCACGAAGAGACATGATGCATATCCAGGATATTTTTATCGGACATGAGAGGAGTAAGACTGAGCTCAGAACTGGCCCTCAGGACCAGGGAAGAGAGTTAGTCATGCTGTCCCCATGGAAGAGTTGAGGACATGGTAGAGAGTTAGTGCCAAGCTTCTGGCAGAAAAGGTGCTCAACAAACAATTTTTTTTTTTTTTTTAACCTGGAACCTTCTCTTCCTCCTCAGTACCTCCCCACGGGTTGACGGCCTGCCCACCTTTCACAGCTACAGATTAACGGACATACACACAGGGTCGGGATATGATGCATCCAAGGTTTTGTCAAAGGCTCCTTGTAGGCTTCTGATTTAGTCCTTGGGTCTCAGTATCTGTTGACAGAGATCATGGGGTGCTCTCTTAGCAGGTCTAAGAGAAAGGGTGGGGTCTTCGTGATGCTGAGTTTCTGCTTGGGGCTTTCTCATGCCAGGCTGACCTCCTTAGGAAGGCTGATAAGGGTGGGCCCAAGTGCTCTGCACCAGGAGGAAGAACCCGTGCCCATCCTCCAAAAGGAGTAAGGCCTGGCTTGTCTTTGTGGCCCTGGGGTCCAAACAGAAGCTTCTCTGTCTCTTGCCCTCCTGAGGAAGGGAAGTGTCTCTCTCCCTGCTGCAGAGCAGTTGTGAGGATGAGTGAACTTAAGGCTGAGGGAATTGCTGAGAACCCAGCTAGGAGACCCTGTCACATGGACCATCATGGCAGGCACGTGCTGGATGTTACATGGGGGAGAGGGTGGTGATATTACCAGATAACTTCTTTTGCCAAGTCATTTAATAAAGTACTGAAAACATTTCTAATTAGAATTTTCTAATTTCTAAAGGAAATTTTGCCTGAGAAGCACGGTAGGATCCCTGACCTCCATGCCTTGACTCCCTTCAGAGATACTCACTGTGCTGGTGGCACCCTGGTGTGGGGTGCTGTGCGGAGCCTGCTGAAGGAAGGCCAGAGCTGTCATCATTATGGTCCTTTGCAGGCCTCTCCACCTACTAAGGGATCAAATAAAGCCAAGGACGCAACTGAGGCCTTTTCTTCTACCTGACCTCTGAACCCATACAGTTGGCTTCTCAGAGGAGCAGACTCAGTCAGGGGTGGCTGGGGCCAGGATATGCTGCTCGGGCCAAATTCCACAGTCCTCACCACCATGCCGTGGTAGGCCCTGGTGGCCAGGCTCAATGTCCACTACCTTCTGTGGCAGTTCACAGCTGAGTGAACCTGTCACCCACCGTGGCAAGAGGCAGCAAGCCAATAAGGACCAAACATGAGAGGGAAAGGGACGGGGGGAGCCTTCCAACAGTACCTTTGAGTTCTCAGAGGTCCAGTCTGGTTTTGGGCAGCAGCCCCTGTCAGAAAATGGCAATTGAGGAAGTTAGCTCTGAAAATCCTGCACAGTCATTCAGCCACATGGTGTCTGTTCCCCTAAGGGGCCGCTTTGGTAGCTCTGAGCCAATCTTCCCCTCACCCCAGATCTGAGTATTCACCTAAGAGTCACCCCCTGAGGCAGCAACTCTCTCCCTACCAGAGACTCTAGGCAATAGGTCTGGAATGAACGTGGTGAGCTGAAGGCTAGGGCTGCTTAGGCAGACTTCAGACTTCCTCAGTAAAAGAACTACACTTCTCAGTGGACAGATTCAGACTTCATTAAACCACTAAGGCTAAACTTTTGGGAGACCGAAGTTTACTTAGAAACTACCAAGTGTACTGCTTTTACAGATTATCAAGGTTAAAACTGCTGCCTCTAAGGATATTAAAATCTGTGCAGTATCGGCTTAAGTTCTGTTTGGAAATACTTCTGGTCTTCTAGATGGTGAACAACAGAGTTTGTTTCTTCCAAATTTATTGGAAAGTCTCTCCATCATTCACTGGTGAGCTTCTGTGCAGAGAGGGGGAGACTTTTCCTCATCAAGAAGACCACTGAAAGTTGGAAAAAAAAAAAAAATTCCACAACGTAGGATAGGACTATTTCTTTCCACAGGACACCCTGGTTGGTTTTGGGAAAGAAAACGACAGCTCCTCTATTTCAGACCAGCAAGCACGGCATGTCTGGGCTGATTTGGAACCTACCCAAACAAAATAAAAAACAACAACAACGTGGGGTCATCAGGTGGCTTTGGGCCAGGTGCTAAGGCTCGGAATCTCAATCTGTGTCTTGAAAGCTGGGCCTCCTAGGGATGTCCCCCCACCCCCCAGGGCAACGGTAAGCATCAGACACAACAGATGCTGGAAAGCGGGGTTGCCACTCAGGACAGGTCGCTAGCCACGGCGAAACCAACGCTGCTCATTTCCGCTCACGGGGAACAGCCAGGTGGTTCTCTTCTCAGCTCCAAGGCTTAGGAACTTCCTGACAAGGTCACCTATGGGCCCGAAGTTCTCAAACTCAGGTCCAAGAATATTCCACTTCAAGCAGCTTGGAACAGTCTAGCTTTGCCAGCAAAAGGCACAGCCGTCAGCCTTCATCATTGTCACCCACGAGCCCTACCGCTGCAGTGGGACTCACCCAACAGAGGGACGCGATGCCGCGTCGTCGGCCATAGAACAGAGCAGGAGCCCACGAGCCTCCGCCGGGTGCCCCCCTCTGCTCCCCCACTGGATGCAAGGGGCTCAAGGATCTTTTGGTCCACTTCCAGGTGTGCCACGTCTATTTCCGGGAACTAATTTTCCCTTACAGGGAAAAAAAAAAAAAAAAAAAAAAAAAAAAAAAAAAAAGACCCTCGCCCTGGAGCTGAAAGGCAAAACCGTCATCATTAGGTCCAGAAAGGGTGATGTTAATGAAAATGGAATTTGCTGGTGAGGTGGCGGAGGTCGCGTTTCCATAGAGATGTGCTTGTAGCAGCACCGCTGTGTCCCCGGGGCCATCCCTGCCCTATTTTCTCAGCCTTAAAACGCAACTGACTGCACGCAAGAGGAGCTTAAAACTTTTCCAGGCACTTAACACTGAAAAGGTTATGGGCCCCCAATGATCTGTAACAAGAAATTTTTTAAGCAATAGTAAATGATAAAGCAAGTGCAAGGATGTTAGGCAAGTTTTTCTCATGACTACGTGGGTGGTTTTTTGTTTTGGGGTTTTTTTTTTTAAATAACAAAATATCAAAAGATCTCAACTTTTTTCCTTGACTTTTTCTGCCAGTGCTTTGGTTATAAAAGCAGTAATCACAATATTAAAGGAAATGTTTAAAAATAATGCTTATAAATGACACAATACTAAGTTACTTTAATTTTTACGTGTCATCTTCCCATGTTCTGCCTACTTTGTGACATTTTCCCCAACTTTTTTTTATTGTGGTTAAATACACAAAAAATTTACCATCTTAACTATGTTTAAGTATACAGCTCAACAATATTAAATATATCCATAATGTTGTGCCACCAACACCACCATCCAGCTCCAGAATTTTCTTAGAACCCTAAAACTCTAGGTTCATTAAGGAACTCCCCATTCTCCCTCCCTCCCCAGCCCTTGGCAACCACCCTTTCTGTCTCTAGGATTTTAACTACTCTAAGTACCTCATTAAGTAGAATCACACGTATTCGTGTTTGTGGTTTTGTTTTGTAATTAACTCATTTCATCTACCACGATGTCCTCGGGTTCACTTTCCATATTGTTACATAGGCTTTATAAGGATCCTCTGTATTCTGTTGGTTTGCTTAATTATGCACCAAATATTAGAAATCCAGTCTTCCAGATTGGTTGTGGTGGTAATTATTTCATACAACGTTTCTGTGGAAGTAGAAAATTCTTTAGGACTATTTTTTTGGAGCAGGATTATTAAGTCAAAGTTTCTTGCTATGAAATTTTCTTTTTCAACTTATGTCAGCGCATAAAGTCTAGAGGTGTACCAAATGATTTAGAAGCAGATGAAAGTTACAGGACAATGTAATGTGAAGCCAGCAATGTCTCCTATGACCCTGTCCTGGACCCCGACCCTCAACAGTGTTTAGGCACTGCCTCTGTTCCCCCCACCCTACAGATTATAGCTACAGACTGGCACCGATGACCACTACAACTTCCGGGAAGAATGAATCATCCACGAATCATCTGTTTGAAACTGATACTGTGCAAGATAATAATTCATTAGTGTAGGTATCACTATCTTCAAAATCAGTTTTCCTTAAAGAAAATATTATGTATGTGCATACGTGTCCTTGCTTTGCCAAACAGACCTATACTGACTCAAATGGAAACCACCTCTTCCCAACAATCCTACAAAATAGGAATTACTTCATGAATGAAGGAAACTGAGAACCCATGACTACGGGTGTAGGTCTTCGTCCTAATCAAGATGTGTATAAAAATGTGTGCGTGGTGGGCGGAGGGAGCAAAACCCTTCAGGAAAGGGATTTTGGCAAATGTAGAAAGCCACACCTGGCAACACCTGAGAATCTGAGCTCAGATCAATTCTCTCACTCTACCACCCTAGAGACTGGTGTTGGAGCAAAAGGGACTTGCCTAAGGTCGCTCAGTGTATTACGGGTAGAGCACAGCTAGAACACAGGCCTGTCTGGTTCTGTTTTCCTTCGGATACTTTGTGCCCTTCAGTTCATTCTGCAACTGACCTTCTTCCTGCTAAGTCTGATAAATCTGGTCCCAAGCCACTAGGGCAACTTAAACGCTCACCCTAAGAACACAGATAGGATCTCTTCAGTGTCCCTGGTGCTAAGAGTTATAAGACTCTGGAGTCACATTTTCAAACCTCACCGAGCGTCACAAGGCTAGGAAGATCCTGGAGGAGTTTCGGTGACATGAGTCTGACTCTATAGAGCCAACAAATTCCTCATTGGCCACTCATCCTCCATCCCCCAACCACAGATCTGGGCCAAAGGAAGTAAGTGGGGGCATTCCAGAGAGCTAGAGAAGATCCTCTTTGGATGGTTTTCA